AGATCTTTAAACCCAAGATACAAACATAACGCATTTTAGCTTTATTTCTTATGGTAAATTTTTTTTGCTATATGTTCCAGGGACTTACATAATACATCACTAGCAGGAAAGATACAAAACTTGGAGGGTCTGCTACACATCGAGCAACTGTAAGATCATGTGGTTTTAATGGAACTTCTTACTTTCTGGTATGGAATATAGATATCTTATGGGAATAAGTTCTACTTGCAGGAATCTGAGTTTCAACGATCTCACTTCCTTTGGGACAGACCTGGAAAGCCTGGTGAATCTTCAACTTCTGTGAGTCATACGTTAGTCCTAAACTATAGAAACTTACCGCCTCAGTAACTGTACTCATCTAAAACTTGTAGATTGGTTTCTTTCTGTAGGGACTTGAAAAACAACAGCTTACAGGGAACCATTCCTGACAAGCTAGGAGCTTTAAAGAAACTCCGTCTACTGTAAGAGATTATATCTTGCATACATTGTCGTAATAATTCCCCCTAGAATTTCATCTTTGTGTGTATACTAAACAGAATGAAGCCATCTTTCAGGAACCTGGAAAACAATAAATTAAGAGGGCCTCTTCCACACTCTTTGAAGAAAGAGAATTTGATTCTCAGGTAGGGTTTAACGATGCCTTAAATCTCTAGTTCGTCAGCTGGTTGAAAACAAACCATTAACCTTGATTGTTATTGTGGTTCAGGATATCAGGAAATTTGTGCCTGTCTTTCTCTACATCAGGATGTAACAGTTCAGGGGAAGCTCCAATCGAGGCACCACAATTTACTGTAATTCCTGAAAGAAAGCACAGAGGCCATGCACATATAGCCATCATACTTGGTGCAGTTATTGGAAGCATATGTGTGGTTATTTTGATTGGTTTGTCGGTGTTCTTATATGTGAGAAAGAAAACGCCAATGTTGAATAACATATCAAGTAAGCAAAACTTGATTCTGAGCTCCTATTTCAGTACTTCAGTTCTAATTCTATTATGAATATGCCTTCACCCTAACATGGATATTCTACTGTAATGCTCAGAGGAAGAAGCTGAAATCAGAAATTGGAATGCAGCTAGAGTCTTTTCTTACAAAGAAATTAAAAAAGCAACAAATAACTTTAAGGATGTAATTGGGCAAGGGAGTTTTGGATCTGTTTACCTTGGGAAGCTTCCTGATGGAAAGATGGTAGCAGTGAAAGTTCGATCTGATAAGACTCAACTTGGGGCTGATTCCTTCGTTAACGAGGTTCAATTTCTAACGAACAGTCAGAATTATTACGTTCACACTTGCAGCATATACAATATTCTAACTACTAACAGTGGAGTTGCTTATAAATGAGGTTTGTATCTATTTTTAGGTTCATCTACTATCACAAATTAGACATCAGAACTTGGTATCTTTGGAAGGGTTCTGTCACGAGTCAAAGCAGCAGATACTGGTTTATGAGTATTTGCCCGGTGGATCATTAGCTGACAGCCTATATGGTATGGCAGCAACATCAAAAAGCTTATTAAGGGTATGCAAAATTTGTTTTTTCATTGGTCTTTGAATTACCAACTCTTTCACTTGGCCATGATCAGGTTCAAACAGTAAGAAATTCACCCTGAATTGGGTTCGGAGACTTAAAATTGGCATTGATGCTGCTAAAGGTATATCATAGTTTCCGCTGTCATTTTGGAAGATGGAATAATACATTTTTATTTTTAATTTGAAAAAGTTACACCAGTTCCCTGACCATAATATTTGTAGGTTTGCACTATCTGCACAATGGGAGCGAACCTAGAATAATACACAGGGATATCAAGTGCAGTAACATACTTCTCGATGCACAGATGAATGCTAAAGTTGCTGATTTTGGCCTGTCTAAGCAGTTATCAGAAGCAGAAGCAACCCATGTAACTACCACTGTAAAGGGAACTACTGGATATCTTGATCCTGAGTGAGTTTTGAACTAGTTCTTTCATAATATTAGTTATCGATTTTAAATAGGTATTCACTAATTTGATCTTGTTTTCTTCATACAGATACTATTCTACCTTACAGTTAACTGAAAAAAGTGATATCTATAGTTTCGGAGTCGTTCTTTTGGAGCTCATTTGCGGTCGGGAACCATTTACCCGTGGATCCGGAAATCCGGACTCCTTCAACTTGGTTTTATGGGTACACTCTAACTACTGTATCTTTTCTAGTTAGAAATTTTGTTGCTCCTTATACTAGACATCTAAATGCTTGCTTTGTACTTCATATCCTTCCTGAGCTTCTAGTTAATTGTCTGTCACTTCCATCAGCACCCGACCCAAAACTTAGCCTAAAACCAGAACAAAGTTAATGGAACTATCGAGGATCCAAGACAAGTATTTGAGGTGGTTTGAAGAGTTTGAATAGCAAAGGGTGAAACCTTATGGACCTAGTCAAGGCACACAAAATGTTGAATGCTAGCCTGATTATTCTCAATTTCTTCTGTCAAGTTAATTATTATTTCAGTATGATTTAGCGATTAGCGCATATAATCAAAGTAGTTGAAGGACATTTATACAGAAAATGCAACTCCAGGGATTCAGCAAAAGTGAACAAATTAAGATTCAACACTTTCGACCCCTAACTTGAGCCCTCTGCCTAATGACTGAATCTAATGCACCTTGAACGGTTGTTATGTACAGGCCAAACCATTTTTGCAAGCAGGAATGTTTGAGGTAGTGGATGATAATCTGGTGCGAGACTATGACATGGAGAGTATGAGGAAGGCAGCTGCTATTGCTTCTAGGTGTGTTGAAAGAGATGCGTCGATCAGGCCTACTATGGGTGAGGTACTACAGGAGCTTAAAGAAGCCTACAGCCTTCAGCTTGCACATCTCGCTTCAAATGGACAAGCTGATTAAGAGCTTGAGTTTATGATGCAACAATATACATCATGCATATTACATCAGTTTTGAATTATTTTTTATAGCTAAATTTAATAATTTATGGCAATGGGTTGAACAGATACATAATTATGTCCGGCTTAAGGATATTGTAAGATAGTACATCTTGTAAAAAAAGCTTAAGAAGTATACCTTATTAGGATACAAGAAGAGATACGTTTACGTATAGTAAAAAATAAAATACACGATTTTGATTATTTTTCCGACAAACTGTCAAGAACGAAGATACTTGGTTTTAGTATGAACATTGATGACACTTGCTACTTCATTCTACCTTTCTATATCCAACAGCCAACTTCCACTACTTAACACCATTTTTGAAGACTTTAAGCTATGCTTAAAGCTTAAGTGTGTGTGTGTGTTGTTTTTTTTAAATCTTGAGGAAGGAGAAATTGTTTTCATGTTATTAATTGACTCAATCTCACTTCATAACCGATTGTTATAATTGAAAAGAAATGAATTACACACTCTTCACATAAAATGAGAAGTATAGAAAGTTTACAGATCTCATGATCTCTGAAATTTATAATCTCATACTTCTATCTAGCCACCCATACATGGATTTACAGTAAAGGATTTTAACTATATCACTTTAATATAATTGTATTCGAATTTTCTGTGTTAGTCAGGCTAGCTATATATATACCACCATTTACAGCAGTCAATATATATTTGAGGGATAGAATAAAATAATTAAGAGATTAATTGTAAGCAAATGATTGGAATTACCATCAACCAGTATCTGCTCTCCAATCTACCCTACTTGTATGTAAGATGCATCATTCTGCTATTCTGTAGTCCGGAAATGCCAGGGAAGATTGTATGGGCTCGGGTTTTTCATGCCCACGAAAAGCAGTTGATACTTCAATTCTAAATGGCCTATGAAGAAGAGTATCTCTGCCGCAAATAGAAAAACAATGCCGTTGAAGCAGCAACAGCATATGGAAATATAGTCCAGATAGCCTGCATTATTCAAAAGAAAACAGTAAAGAAAATAAAAGTAAAAATTATAGAGGAAGAGGAATAAGATTAAAGTGTCTAAGAAAATTTAGAGGTTTTGGGGCATAACTTACCACCACAGAAGCAACAGTAGCTAAGGCAAAAAGAGGACGTTCTCTTAATAGGAACCCGATAGCCAACTACAGCACAGAAATAGATCAAAGTATTAGCTTCTCAATTCAGTCAGAAAGCCATTTTATTCACTAATGGCCCATTATGCAGGAAAATTAATTATGCTAAGAAAAATTTCACTTGTATGTGTTTTACTTCAAAATTTTCCATTACCAGTTTACCGTTTAAAATTGCCTCTAAAATGGTAGTGGAAAATTTTAAGGAAAAAAGGATACTAGGGGAACATTGGATAAAGAGCTGCATTACTTTGGGTATTGGCATGGAATTTTCCTTATTTATAAATATTACATGAAATATCATTAGCATTATCACCATATATCAATCCCTACCCAATAGTTTGTAAATGTTCTCAGATTTTGCAAGACAAAAACAAATTCACTTGGTGTGAACTGTTTCTAAAGCTCAATCAGCAAGGGATAGTCGTTGTATAATGGACAAATAACTTCCATGGAAAGTCTGTTTATATATTTCATGCACAGACATTCATGGTTTAGTAGGCAGCAAATAACAAGTGGAGAGGAACATTCAACAGCTGTGCTAACCTGAACAGGTAGGGTGATCAAACCACCACAGCAAACACCAACAAAGAAACACTCGGGAGAAATACCCTGCATTACATGAAAACCATAAACATAAGCGTGGTTAAGCCCAGCAAGTTGCTGACAATATTAGGTTAATATTGCGGGATGAGCAACAGCAGCAGCAACAATGACAAAAACATAAATCCATAAACTATTGAAAACAGTGGCCAAAAGCCCCCAAAAGGAGATAAAGTACAGGTGACTAATAGAAACTAGAAACTGCAATAAAGCCTTGGGTTACGGTAACATAGTTCTGTTCTTTTATTTTGTGTGTCTGGGTTGGGATTGGGGTTTGGCTCATGCCATGAAGCATATGGATTTGTGGATGACTACACGGAATAATCAGATTTGGTTCATGTAGCCGACCCCACTTATGGGAGTAAGGCTTTGATTGATTGATTGATTGATTGGGTTGGGATTGGGGTTGCAGATGGGGGCATGTCACTGTTCTGTGAAACAGTGTTGAATTCAACATAATTCAATTGCACATCTAAGAAAGAAAATTCATCCTTGTGGAAGATTGCAAGCAATACTAAAGTATTAAACTCAAACTTCAAGAGGAAGTGACAGTTAGCAGCTACATTTTGGTCACCAGTAAATAAATACAAAGGGTCTCTGAAGGAGTTATGAACTCTAACCATGGCTCCTGCAAGGAATGCTGTTGGATTTCTGACTCCAAGAGAGAATCGTTCAACTGTTTATTAGGGAAAATGTAATACATAAACAGTCAGTAAATCATTCCAAATGCTAGACAAGCTGCATATTTAATTAAGGGAAACAGGACTAGCAAATAATTATAATAGATAAATGAGAAAGATTGCATTCCAGAAAACTAAATTAATTCTTAAACAACAATAAAGCTTTTGTTAGGGTCATTTGAACAACTACCAAAGAAAAGCGGCATGCATCGAAGTAGATGTACTAAAGGTTTTTTTTTTTCTTTTTTTTTTAGTTCTACTTCCCATTCATATATATAAGTATATTACCATACTATAGCTACAAGGACTCGTCAAATCTTAAAGGCAGGTTAGATGACACAACCTTGCCTGCAAAATTGTAAAGAGGCTCTTTTACCCAAACCATTAGCATTCATAGAGCATTAAAGGAATTCTTGCACCCAATTTCTTATACTTCCTCCGTTCTTTTAATATCGCATCACTTGCCTTTTTGGGAAGTTTCACAAATACTGCATCACTTCCATTTTAGGACGAAAAATATCTATGTTCATACTGTAAATACCCAACATACCCTTACTTTTTCACACTTACTTTTTATTTTATCTTTACATTACATGGACAATTTTGTATTTTTACGTTTCTCCCTCTTACATTTTCCCACTACCAAATTTTGCCTTCAAAACCCCTATGATGCAATAAAAAAAGAACGGAGGAAGTATATAGCTAAAGCAAGCTGTATAATGATCTTACAATAATCAACAATATAAATTCAAAACCGTAGAATATAGGATTAGCTAGTCAATGCCTAAATAATACTTGTAGAAAGACAATCTCTCTGCGTTATCCCACGTTACAAAGATCATATAACAGGGCAGTCAAAGGTCCCAAGGAAATAAGAGGAGCAAGAACACTTTTTTATAAAACAGAAAACTCAAACTACCCTCATCTATGCCAGTACATCAAGCAAGATCAAACCTGTGACTATATCCCCTTATTGGCATTTATACATGATAATGGCCTACTCTAAACCATAGGACATGATATTACAGACCACAAAATAAGTTGGAGAAAATGACTAGCAAGTTCAGAATATTTACCGAAACCACTAAGATTTCCATATCTTTGAACAGCTTGTGTAATGTTCATCGCCTTCTCTTTGCTAACCCCTAACTGCATTTATTGAAAGAATATTCAAATACAGGAAAAAAAATGCAAGGAAAGAGAAGAGGAGAGGAGACCTAGGAAAGTTTAGGCTTTAGGGCTCAATCCAGTTGCATAGATTTTGGAATAAAAGTCCTCTACATTTGAATTATGGATGAAGAGCAAACCTTTGAACACAAATCATCAGAAGCTCCAGATTGCTTAAATAGCTTCCCAACGTAAAATGGTATCATATCACTGATGCAAACTCCCCTAAAGAAAAGAAAGTTTCGTGAGTTTATCTAAGAGCAGAAAAAGTCATGGAAGGAGAACATTTTTTTCCCCTGGGAAATCTGTTAATACATAAACAGCATTAAATAAAAATAAATAAATAAATAAAAAACCACTAACCAGTATACCCATAAAACTGTAGAGATTATATATGGCGCATTACTGGAGAATGATGCAGCAAAGGATTGCCATGTACCATCCAAACATAATTTCCGTGCCAATGTTATACCAACCTATATCTTACACATTCAGTCAACCAATGAAAACATGAAATAGCTATGAAACACAAAACAAACATTGGAGTTTGTGAAACAGAAGTACCAGCAGAAAGGACAGACCCATATATTTAAAGCCTCTTCACTGATGAAAAGTCCACATCCAGCAGCCATGAGCAACAAGAAGTAGATCCACCTGTTATTGTTTTTCTATAGATTTTAGTTTTTACACTACATTGAAGAAAGCAATAGGTCCAAATTGAAAAACATGATGTAATGTCCAAAGAGGAAAAAGCAAAATAGCATTGAAAATAAGTGTTTACAACAACATGATGCAATGACATACTCATACAATTTTACTCTTGGTTCTATATAAGCTCTATCCTTAAATGGTGAATACTTTCAGTCTTTCACAAACCAAACAAACTATAGAGTGAATGAGTGATGCCATTAAAACAATATATTACACCATCCTTTCGCTTTTGAACAAACAGACAAGTCAAAGGCTTCACTTAACAGTTAATGTAAGGTTCAATGATTGATTTGACACATACCCTGGAGCATACTGTGGAAGTAAAACTCTGTAACCAAATGCTTTAAAAGAGAAGCCAACAGATGATGCAGCCAAGCTTGAAGACGATGAAATATCAGACAGGCGTTGGATTTCAATTCCAAGGGAAGTTCCCAAATTTTGCTGCTTGAAACCAATAGACAAGAAGGTGACAGTTGCAACCACTCCAAGGCCAATTGCCAATTTTGCCAAAAATGAACTGCCTTTCCCACTATCTTGCTGGCCCTTGAACAACTCCTCATTCAACTTTACACCTCTATTCAAGGAATTGCCCGTGTTTGCAGCATCATCAACCCCTGCATCTTCTGGCTGAAAACTTCTCACACTGTTGGTGTCGAGCAAGACAACATAATGTATGAATTTGATATTTTGAGAAAATGATAAGACAAAACACTGAACACATATTCCATATATCATGCAAAAGATGAGGAAACCAAATAATAAATAAAAGCTCTCTACAAAACACACCTTCTCCCACCCCTCCCCCCACCCCAAAGAAAAAAAATAAAGAGCTGGCCTAAGATAGCTCAGTCCAGCGGAGGCCCTCCTTACTATCCTCTCAAAATAATGCCAACTTGGTCAATGCTTCTCCACCACAAAGAAATACTCATAACTCTTATCCTTCCACAAATCACTTAGAGGACCTCACACCAGGGCATACTTCAACCAACAATACAAATGACAAGTTCCAATGTCAAGTCAGATTTATTCAATTTGCAAAATATATTAAGACAATTAAATTGTTAATAAGTGAGCTAATGCCCCAAAGTGAGCCATGCTATTCAATGCCAATTGGTTAAGGATAGAGGCATTCGGTTCACAACAATAAGCAAGTGGGCTTTGACTCGATACATGATCATGTATGGAACCTTGTGCCTTGGGCACATATCCACATCATTGTGCAAAATTAACCTCACATTCATAATTAGCAACAAAAGAACATTTGTGTGGATGCCAATTAGCTTATCTAATTAGAGACTTAGGGGTAGTACCGTAGTACCATTACCCAAGATTCGTAATCAAATCCTGTCTATATTAATGCCCTTTATGACACCCTATACACCAAAAAACAAAAGACCATTGACACCTAGCTATCAACAACACTCACCAATATCAACTGCCAATCAATAACATTATTTCACAAATCTAAGGCTAGCAATTTTTCTCAAAAATAACCATGCCAACAATTTGAGCTCAATAAACTATCACAAAAACAATATCTATGATATATAACAATTACCCAACAAAGATTATAACACAAAAGGCAAGAAATAGAGAAAATAAGGAAGATATATACCGAAAACATAAATATTTGGAGAAGTGGGTAGCAGAAAGAAGCACCCTTTTGTGAGGAAAAGCACCATGAACTCCATTGAAGCAGCTTGAAAGCTTCAGAAAACGTGGTTTACAGGCATGGGAAATTGCTAAAGGAGGGCTAAGAGAAGGGTAGTGAGAGAAAACCGTCGCCATTGACGACATTCTTTCTCCTAAATGTGCTTCTCAATTAATCAGTTGTCAGTCAGAAGAATTCAGCAACACTCAGAATTATTCAATAATGGGGTGTAAAAGACAAGAATTGAATTACCATGTTAATTTTATTTTCAATTTCTTTGGGAAGTTTGTAACTTCTGTGGGGGGGAGTGAGTGTCAAGTTTTGGGGGAATCAGCAGAAGCATATGCCTATTAAGTAGGAAGTGTGTTTGTGTGAATCACTTTATATTATACCAAAGGAAAAGGATTGTCTTCGGCCAGTTGTGTGATAAGAGTAATCTATTAGTCGACTAGATGATTCTCGATTCATGCTCGGTTTTTAAAATATATTTCCTCTGTTTTTTAAAATACAACACATCTTTTTGACACGTTTTTTAGGAGGTGATTCGAATAGGTAAGTGAGCTATCAAAATAATTTTAACACCACGATTAGAGAAGGGTTAGCTAATATGTGTATAAATTATTTTGATTAATTTGTCTGTTTACCTACTCTAATCACCTCCTAAAAAAGCGTGAAAAAAAGGTGTGTTGCATTTGAAAGAAACGGAGGAAGTAGAAGTTTTTGGATAAATGTAACACAATAATCAATATTTAATTACAACAATAAATAAATAATGAATTTCTTTGACAAATTGATGATTATGTAAAAGATAGAATAGAGTCTAGGAGGGAAATTTCTCTCTAAAAAAAATTCCACTTTGATATAGGTAAATAGACTTGTTAGGGCATACGATATCATTTTGCATCATCACTTCTAATTTTACGTGTTATTTGAGGTTAAGTCTTCAGTCGTTTATGATTTCAATGGCCAATATGGATATCAAATATTCTAAAAGCAAGGCAATTACAAAGTAGTTGCTAATCACTTGGTCATCAATTTTCTTAATTACTCCATTTCTCTACTACAGAGTATTGTATTAGTTAGATTATCAGAAAAGTATATCGTTTGTGATATATTATTCATATTAATTTTGAAAAGACTTGCTACATACAACTATTATTTTTGGGAGATTACTGCACCTATAAATCCATTAAATTTCAATATCGCTTCTACAGAGACTATTGGCATCCAAAGAGAATCTTAAACGTCCATAATTTATGTTTCATACCTTGTTTTACGATGTTATGTTGTTTTTATCCTGCTCAATTGCTCTTATGCTTGCCACTATCATTCCTATATACAAGTAATAAAGTCGTTTATACGGGTCAACTTTCACTTGTTTATGCTTTACAGATTTTATTTTTGAATTCAAGAAAATAAAATATATTAATATATAAACAAAATCTACTCTTGCCTACAGATGCATGAACTAGCCTGTCTATACAGCATTCAACATGCCAAAGCCAAACTTTTGTACATTTATTTAGGGGGCGCTTTATTGAACATGCTGCACCCATGCACCCAAAGTTACGGGTCTCGATCGGATTTATTGTTTCTTTTTATTTGCAACAAATGAATTTTTTATGTCTCACATAAAAATACCCCTTTGTTGTAAATAAAAAAGAAACAGAGGTAGTATGTTTTTATGCCTTCCTTTGAGGTTTACTGTGGCGTGGCAAACTCATCCAACATTTCATCAACTATAGTAATACTCGCATTACTTTCATCCAGATTTAATTGTCACGATACTAGCTAAATACACTATCGTGTTGGAGGGAGATTATCCAAATAAGATGGGTAACAAGATATGCGCTGAAAGTAGGGGAAGTAACAAGAACATACAGGTTACTTCAGAACCAAAACTTAATTTTGCAAGTCCTGCAGCAGCATGCACTTCTTCACCAAAGTCAGTACAGAGAATTCACATTCATGTACAAGACAAATATACTTATACACCAAGTGCAAGCACAGCATTACCGACAAGTTAGAACCAACCAAATGTCATATCTTTGGGAAGATAGCATCTACATAAGCATGGTGCATTGGATCACCCAGCCAGAGTTTTGACAGTTGATGGTATGAAGCTGTGCAGCGATGAACTTCCTCCACAAACCAGATGGTTGCTTCCGCTTTAAGAGGATGAATAACGGTGTCCAATGGCTGGTACTCATCACCGGTTTCAAATCTTGCTTGATCCCACTGTTTTAGGAGAGTGTTTGTGAGGTAGTGCAGTGGCTGCCCATATAGCTCCTTGATTGATTTGGCTAATCCCATCCATGAATTACACGTATGACTGATCCGCGTTGGCATGGAATGGGACCTTTTTTCATGTACTCCTGGTATATTTTTGCCCTTCTCACCATGGCACCTGCACAATGTGAAGCACAATATAGACATCAGCAGCTGCATTCATAAATATACAACAGATCATACCACACACAGTAGTATCAGATGTTAAATGTGTGTAGAGAAATATCTAAAAGGCTGTGCTGGAGAGATAAGAATTAAAGACTTCAGACACTTTCAATAAATAAGTTTGATTACAATACTCTCTCAAAAACTCAGATGCAGAAAAACTAGCAAAACATACATCTAGTAATAAATTATTTCACTCTTGAATAAAAATCACGTCTCTTTCTCACCAGTTCCCTCTCATTCAGAATCAGAACTCTTGCCGCAAAAAAGACCTCCACTTTTCCACCAAGTATGTTCTACCTCTGTGCATTGATATCAATTTTCCAGCCCCCTATGACAGAACAGTTATTCAATTGCCTTTCTCTTCCTCTTAAGATGTTCATTGGGCCAAAACATAGCCTAAATTCTCTAAAAAATCTCGAAATCAACTTCAGATCTTTGGGAAGCAAGAAATAATGTTCCTAATCTAACTTCTATCACTTTCCGTCTTAGTGCAATTGACTACAGTTTTGGGCTCTGCCTCCCAACCTCATTTACTTTACGACCTCACCATCCCATGTTAAAAAATATTCAATGGCTTCAGAGTCATAAGATCAAAGTTCAAGGAACCTAATGAACTGAAGAGAAATAGTCAACTTTGACGAGAAAGAGGTGAGACTATTTTTGTTGATGATAAAGAACACAATTGTTCAAGAAAAGAGTTGGGTTATTAAAAACTATACTAAGAATTAGGCAAGATTTATTAAAAGCATGGTAGTGACTGGCAGGTTTCAGTGATCTTTATATGCGATACATGAATCAGTAAGGGCACTACTGATGGTGCTTTTGCTGATGGCATGCAGCATTTTGTAAAGGCCAGTAGATAGCCATTAATCTCTAGAAAAATTGCAAGAGGACTAAGGGAGGTAGAGCTGCTTCAATGAAAGCTAAGACAACAGTAATAATTGGCATATAAAATTTAGGAAAATTTGTCAAAAAAAAACCTTTTTAAATGCACCATTTTGCGAAAAAAAACCTTTTAAAAGGTTTTTCGTAAAGAAAACCCAAAGTTAAATTTTTTTGCAAAAGACAACCGGTGCCTCTAATTCACTTAATTAAGCTCTAATTTTTTCGTAATTATCCTATAACTCTCACTTAGCCATTTTATAATTAAATTAAATAAAAACCACCATATCATCCCTACCACCACTCCACCAGCCAGCCACCCTCTCCGTCTCCTCCCCCTCCCCCCTCCCTTGGCAGCAGCCCCCTCCCCCCAACTGAGCCACCGCCCCTGAATCGCTAGCCGGCCTCTCTCCCTTTACCCCTTACCCCCGCTGCAACCCTCCCCCTTCCCTAAACCCTAACCCCGACCATCCACCTTCCCTCCTTAGACAGCGATGAGAGCATCAACATCGAGTGGCGGACGACAACGCGGCGGCGACTGCGAGAAAGAGGGAGAGAGAGTGAGTCAACGAGAGAAAAGGAAGAGGGAGAAGAAGCGTGCCACCTGACCAGAAACACCCATTAATTGCTCGATGTTATTGGCCGTCGAGGTGGGTCACCGGGAGTTGGGGGTTCAAGGCGGTGGCTCGGTTCAGGGGAGGGGGCTGCTGCCATGGGAGGGGAAAAGGAGGGAGTGGCTGGTTGGTGTGGGGGTGGTGGTTTTTATTGGCCGTCGAGGTGGGTCGCTGGGAGTTGGGGGTTCAAGGCGTGGCTCAGTTCGGGGGAGGGGCTGCTGCCATGGGAGGGAAAAGGAGGGAGTGGCTGGTTGGTGGTGGGGGTGGTGGTTTTTGGGGTTTTTTATTTATAAGTTAAATTAATTAATAAATGGTTAAGTGAGACTTAGAGGATAATTAGAAGAAATTAGAGCTTAATTAAGTGAATTAGAGGCATTAGGTTGTCTTCAACAAAAAAATTTCACAATTGAGTTTTCTTTTGCAAAAAAATTTAACTTCGGGTTTTCTTTTACGAAAAAGCTTTTAAAAGGTTTTTTTTTCGCAAAATGGTGCATTTAAAAGGTTTTTTTTGACAAATTTTCCTAAAATTTATGTATTGTTCTGACTTAACTTTACAGTGAACTTATACACCACTACTACTATATGTAACTAAATCATCACCAAGGGATCATTTGCCAAAAAGACATAATACAAGAATTTATAAAGGGCATCAAGGCCCACCATCAAGCAGTATTCAAACATTAGAGAGGAACCAAGAACTGTTCATCCATCAAAATATAAAAGCTTACAAGTAATCATGTACCTTCAGAATGTTTTTCATTGGCAGGTTGGTAACTAAGACCATCGATGTTAGGCTTTTGGTCAGAGGCGCCATCATCTGCCTCCATATCTGCTGCTTCATCATCTGATGACACAAGATCTACCTGATCATCCCATGGAACTGGCCTTTTCGCCATTGATAGATTTCCAAATTGGAACACGGGTATTGCTTAGTTCAATCTGGTTCCAACAACAGAGGCAGTCTTTAATCAGACACACTAGACACATGATAAGAACATTATAATAATGTTTGCAGAGATTATTTATCACTCATTGACAATGTTAGAATATAGGGGGTTGATTATTAGAGAGTTGATTGGGCAAAAATTTGCTCTTTTCTCCATAGCCACCCATCAATTCATTCTTCTGGACATGAATTTGATCCAATTATGCCTGCAAATGAATCCAAAATTGTTACTGCACCTGCACTCAAACTTTTCAAAAGAAATTTATCAATCCTATACTATCTCCAAACCACACTCTCAAACTGGCTCAATTTCTTCACATGAATTCAAATATTGTTGCTGCATCTGCACTTAAATTTGCTCACTTCCAAGAATATGACATGAAGTACAATAAACCAAATGTCCAACAGCTCTCCCTAATTATCAGTATCATCATTCCCAAACTTATTTCATCAGTCTTATCATC